AAAAATAACCATATTGTTTTAGTTAAAAATAACTATTTATTAAGTAGGAGCAGTGGCGACTTAACTAAGATTAAATTTGACACTATAGATTTAACAGTGTGTGCTAATCATAATATACACAAATTACAAACTTTACTTTCTTTTTCTTATTTACTTTAAAAAACTGAGAATTAAATAAAATTTTAAAAATTTTAAGTAAAATTTTTAGAATTTATGATTTTTAGAACTAAAATGCGAAAGAATGTTAATAATTTCTGCAAAATTTTCACGTATATCCCTTTGCTTCTTGGATGCAGAAACATCAGAAACGAATAGCAACGTTACCTTTAGGGTCGCCCTAGGTTCGCGCACCCTTCTTCATCCCTCCAATGTTTCGCATATCTACCGCAACCGTTCAACACGTTCCACTCCACTTCGTTTCCTTTATCCTCATCGCTCTTCGTGTAAGATCACGGCATCCTGTCTTTCTCCCTCTTTCTAACCACGTTAACATTGCTTGCCACCCTACTTCGCCCTCTTTTCCCTCCCTTCTATCTCATTCCGACCTCCCTTTATCTTTTGGCGCGCGTGCAACTACCTGCTATTCGCGATACGCACATGCGCCCGTTTGACGCTTCCAGAGGGGAGATTTCGATGGACTCCCTCTTTCAAAATTTAGTTCGTATAGAACAAAATCTCCTCGAATACTCCTAAAACGTGCGTTGGTACTCCAATATAATTGTGACGTACATGTATATATACATATATATATATATATATATATATATATATATATATATATATATTCACGCGTTACATTAGACGATCATTATAAACGTTATGCAATTAAGATCTAAATAATTAATTCATACGTATTTCTAAATATATATATATATTTCTAAATTGATTAAAACCATCGACTTTCCTTCATTGGTTGCGTTCCGATATTTACTGCAAGTACTGAAAATTTATGATATACGTTACTATAGATTTTCAGAATTGAATATCGGAATTCGCAGCCATTATTGTGACAAACTTTTATTTCGTGCGAAATGTTATATATTGCACGAAGAGTATGATCGATATTTTTATGACATACATTTTCGAAGAAATTTAATCTTTGATTGTAACAGTGATCTCTTTCATCATAATTTTTTAGCTGCGTCCCTGTTCAAGGAACGATCCTGACTGATAATCGCAGCTAGTCCTGTCTGTTCTCCAGCCAAGTCAGTGTTTCGCCGCAGCATTATTTCGGGTAGCGAAATAGGGATGATGGCCGGAGGGTGTGCGGGCGAGGGAGGGATTCTTTGTTACTTTGTGAAATCGCTTAAGCCATTAAGAGGGAAAAACGAGAGAGACGGGGAAGCGCTTGTTCCTCGCGGGGAACGAAACCAAAAGCCAATCGCCGATTTATCTCCCTCGTTCTTTATTCCGCCTTAAGAATATATAACTTGTCCGCATTGCCGTGCTTGTAGTTGTAAACTGTGTAGCGATTATTTGTAAAGACTGATAGTCGGGGATTGTAACAACAGTTATAATTTATCCTATCTGCTTCATCTTTCTTGATCAGATATAGTTTTCCTCAATGCAAGCGAAATGCAAGCAAAAGAGAAAATAAAATTGAAATCTTCTGAAAGGGGCTAAGAAATCTTGAAATCGTAAGACAAGCATTATAAATAAAATTTAATTTTTAAATCCAGAATTATTTTTTTATTAATTTTGTACGAATGTAGAATATACATTATATTTGTATTAATGCGTATGTACGTTTAATGTAAAGTTGTTGAACGCAGATCAATTTCCAGAATACAAAAACCGACCGACACGAGTATCTATAATAGATACAGCGCGCAAGACTGATTCCAAGCCTGATAAAACTTCCAAGTGTTAAGCATTTATTTTACAACATTGAACGTACCGCGACAGCTGTTTCAGGTTTCATGTGGTAATACTGGTAATGTTGGCAGTGCTGTTTGTGAGGTTAACTCGAGTTATGCAGTTGTAGCATAAAGCATTGGTCATTGGAGCAAACGGAGCGGATTATTTTATAACAGAATAATTGAAAGTTGCAGTCAAAAATTGTGTAGCAAGATGGTTTTATTGGAGCATATGAGAAATGTATTAAAATTTACCTCTGCAAGTTGTAATGTAGTCAACTAATTCCATTTGATGAATAAATGAATTCTTTCTGATATAACCTCTCTCTTTGAGCCTTTTAACTCAGCACAGATATCAAATTGTTTTCTTAAAAATTGAAATTATTAGGAAGACGTATGAAATAATGATAATTTTATTACCATTTGTCCTCAGATATTACCGGCCGTGCAACAGAGACTTATGCAAAGGCATTTTCACACGAGCACAGTAGTCAACAAAGTACAATCCGGACGCTACAAAGTCACACTCAACAAAGACAGGCCGCTGACATATGAAATGGCAAATCCACCTCATTACATCGCTCACAGAAAGTCTTGGAACGCTTGGAACACCTGTAGGTTATTTCTTTTAATGAGAAACATGTATTCGGTCTCTTGCAGTTTTCAGCAAGTATTGATTCTTTCAGCGAATATAAAGGATGGCAACAGACCATCTGAGACAGCCGTAGAAGATATGTTCATTCGGCAGTTCATGACGGGGACGTGGCACAATTTATTCGCGAGTGAAATCATTATTAAGCGGCAACACAACATTATTAGGATAGCCGGAATCATCTCTCGTTCTATAGCGCCTTACAAGATATATTTCTTAACTGGCTATACCGAGGAACTCCTGAGTTCTTGGCTTCAGTGTCCCGTTAAAGTCGAATTAGTCACGATAGACAATAAAAAAGAAATGATAATTAAGTATATATAGATACCAGTACATGTAAATATAATAAACTAGATTTCTGTTAATAAACCTGATTTTATAAGAATTTCTGACGATTATGTTACGATTAATTCTGCGAAAAATAAATTATAATACAGCATGTTGTACTGTATTATAATCTGTCTATTTAAATATATTTTAGTAATTATAGCAAAATATATGTGAGAATGTACATAAAAATAATTTTATACATACACAATGTGTTGGAACAGTTAGATGAATTAATGTTGCATAACTCGTTCCTTTTTTACAAAAAGTACGGTAAAAAAGTTATAAAGCCTCTTTGCTTTTATTTCTTGCATGTCATCCATTTATTTTGCATTACTTATAATAAATCGTTACATTCGATCATGACTCAAACGCAGCCCATATACAATCATTGCATCTTTATGATAGAAGAGAAATCATACATCGTACCACGAAAGGATTACTGAAGTAAAACTAAAAAGGATATTCAAGAGCAGACAGAGCATTCAAACGTGATATATGTAGTATAATAGTGTTACATATTCCCTACTAGAGACCACATTCTCTCTCCTTCGTTACATGCCTTTACAACTCTTATGTATTCATCCGGCGTTCGATCAGGATCGTGTAGCTTTCTCCTGCTGCATTTGTACTTTTTCTATTCGCTTCTCATTGAGTATTAATATTCTATATGGATGTCTGTGATAAAGAAGAATACTATTACTTGATATCCACAATTTATATGTCCTCTGGTTTACTGTCAGGTTGATAAACTATTAATTGAATTATTATTATTAACTGAATGTTATTGTATAAAAAAAAACGTGTAGTGTGCGTACATTAATGTTAATGCGCGTGACGATATAATCACAGAACTGTCTCGTATTAAATATACTTAAGACGAAATCGCTTTCTCGTACATTATTCTGGAAACGTGCATCGGCAAAAACGAACGAATTAACACATTATTTTATAATCGTGCTATTAATACTATATATAAATTAAACATATTACATATTATGTACAACATGTCTTACAAAGTAAATGCGACACGAATTTAATCCCAAATATAAATAAGATTATTTTTATATACACAATAACAATTTCTTTTTGCCAATTAAAGCTTTACTTCGTACAAGGATCAAGTAATAAGTCTTCTGATGAGAATTTTCTTTTTTCTTTTATACAAACGGTAGATTCTCGGGAAAGAGAGAACTTACACGAAACCTGATTGAAATCACGAATTTTTAAGCGCGGAGATGTAATTGATCTTATATGATGGACGCAACAATTGTGTTCCAATGTCTACGAATTTTTTTGATCGCTCTTTTTATAAAAGTACAGGCTGAAATGTGCTGTGCTCGTCTTATCCTTTTTCTTTCATATTCTAGTACAACTTAATATTCTTAACTATGGAAGTCAAATTTTGACGCTATATCGCAATACTATATAGAATAACAATTTTGTAATTCAAATCTTTTCTTAAGTAAAAAATGTAAAATTTAGAGTAGAATCATACATCATGTTTTACTGCTTACAATAAAATATGTGTCATTTGAAATTTCCGGATATTAATTCAATATTATAATTTTTATTGATTTCTATATTTCATCGAATATTTTAATATTCGATATCAGAAATAATGCATGCTTATAGAGTTCATAAAAATTAACTACGTAAAATGATATTGTAATATCAAATTAATCATATAATATATATAATATATATTATATAATATATGTATATATACATATACATGTATGTTATATAATACATATTATATACATTTATATATATATTATATATTTTTTTATAATCATCACTTACATAGATCACTAGAAGTACATATAATAATATATTATTATACACTCAACTAGTAATAATGTAATAATGGAATATTATATAATAATAATCTTGATAGAATTATTTATAATTATAATTATACCTTTTTTTAATAACCGGAAATTAGAAATGAAGACATAAATAAAAGAATTTATTTATAGTACTGATTTTTTGAGAAATGTCTGCAAAAAAACTATGTTGAATTTACGAGATCGACAATTACGTATTATTCTATGTCATTTGCGCGTACAGCGTCCCTTCGTTATGTTTATATATTTATATATATTCTTAAGTGTCGTTATATGTAATGTGCCCGTGTATTTATGAAGAGAATCGCGGGCATTAATCCTAATTATATCAATTGAAATCATATCGAAAGTATAGCTAAACACTCCAAAAGCAACAGAACACAGTGTTCATATTGTACAAGACTTTAAAAAGTCGCTATTCGATTCAAGTAAAAATACCTACTTAATATTAAGTAATATCTAAAAAAAAAAAAAGAGACAACTAAGATTTGAACGCGCTGCTGTAGAAGCTCAGAACATTGAAAATTAATGTATTCAGAGAAACATGTGTAACATGCATCATTCGAGATTTCTTAGAAGCTTAAATGGTGTTTTCCCTCACTAGCTTGATTTAAAGCAATTTAGCGGCTTCTTGATAACGTATAGATAAAGATTACGTTACTATTACGTTACGTTACGCTACAGAGTTTGATGAATCCTTATTTAATCGCTTGTTCGCTTAATATCTCGAATATCGGCAATAATACTAGCTCAAATCGACGGTTTCATCGAATTCGGATTTAGTGCCTGTAATTTAATACTATGAAGCTACGGACTTCATCGATTCGTCTCCTCGCAAATGCGCTATTGCAATTTCCGAAAATACAGTGTCTCAAAATGCATCATTGTCGAAATTGGCACCTTTGTAAATTTTTCTCTTTGCAAAATGGAATGGAAATTTTTCTTGATACTGTCGTGTACTGAGTATTGGTAAAGAGTAAAATTATGTCTTTTGCGAGATTATACGACTACGCAAATCACAATTCCATATATCTTGCAAAATTAAAGTAGAGAGTAAATAGAATATAGTATAAGAGTCCCTTATGATAAATATGTTTGAAGTAATCCCTTTATAATAAAATAATAAAATGACGTAGGCCAGCAGCCTATCACCGACACTGTAAGAGCACTACAAAGCATTTCTTATTGACAGATCCGTTAAATGATAGAAGGATAGTCTGTTAAAACTATCCGTTTATTGTCAAGCTTAAAGATAAATATCTTATTCCTCGTTAATGACATGTCATTATCAGCATTTCTATCGAAGAAACAAAATGTATGCGTTATATTTACGAACAGAATTAATTTCAACAATATTATTAAAATTGCTAAAACGAAATAATGTATCAGTCTATTACAAAATTCGATAAATCTTATCGATTTAAGACATAATACATTGCATTTAATTGATATGGAGATAGTAATTAAAATTATAATGACAATTATTTTATTATTTGAAAATACTAAATCGAACGTGCCGTGATATTTGCAATGCAATTGCGAATTATAATCAACTTATTCTGAGATATATAAGGTCTAGTATATCTACTTTATATATAATATGCATCACACAGTATTCCAGGATGATATTTAGAGCTTTGTTAGCGGGATCGTTAGTATTACGCTCAAGAAATTCTACAAAATTTTCGCGAACGACGTCAATAAAAAAAAAAACATATGTACAATTTGCCGCCTGACATCGATCGTGCAGGGGAGGAAAACTAAATTCAATTAGGATTCATCAAACTTTCGTTACAGTACATACGGATAATTCCTTTAAAGTGTCATTATATATGCCTTGCAGAAGAAACGAGAGAACACGTTATCCTAATTATAAGATAATGTTATAGCGTAAAAATTTTTCTGGTGATACAAATCCATCGTTACAACGTTGCACCTTTCCGCAATGATTTTTCGCGTGTCGATATCGTGCGTGATAAAATTATTCTCCATTGAACAGTTAGCGTTCTGAGAAGGCGATGATTTCAGAAACGGCGGAGTGTAGCGCGATAATATTATACCTGTAAAACACGAATTCCGCATTAACTGTTTCAACGAATTCACTTGTTCACTTGCTTACAGATACATTTCGATACGTCAGTTTCAATGGACTTGACCGATTCTAAAAAGACTGATGAAACGAAAAGACTGGCAAATATAATCAAATATCCTTGTGGTGAGCATAATTATAACATCGCGCAGAGAATTTAGAGCACTATTTAGATAACACAATTAGATAAACATCTTTCTTATTCAAGTGCTTGAAATATACTTTTCGCGAGATATTTTTTTTGGTCACGAAAAAGAAAATCGGTCCACGTCATTATCATCATTTCTATTTCAATTAAACGTCAATTTCGGTTAAGGACCGCGGCTAAGGACCGTCGTTCTGCAAAATCATCGCGCTCGACGAATGCTCGACGTGAGTGCTCGTGTTACTTAAGTTTAAAGTATATATTATCTGAATCATTAATCTTCTCGAGAGCTTCCGTTTACTTCAAAGCTAATATATCTGAAATACTATGGCGTAGGCGACAGCCGAAAATGCATGAGAGCACGTGTGTTTTATGTGTTACCCGACTTGCTTCGCTCTTTCCTCGTTCACAAAGCAAAAGTATGTGCCGCTGTATGTGTGCCGTAACCGCACGTTATTCCCCCCCCC